TCTACAATTCTAGACTGATTTACAGCCGTCTATTTTTCAGTGTTTCACTTTTACCGCATGATGGATTCGCCACTTAGCAAATGCAGGTTATTTCTAAACAAACGTCTGTTTTTAGATTGTTTAGCACTATTCTCGTTCGTTCGTTTCAGCCGAAAGATGTCCACTGCTGGACCAACACTATACACTTTAACATTATTCCCACTTTTAGTTCCCACGCTGCAACTCTTGTTTCCCACTTCTAGTTCCTACACTGAGACTTATTCTCATATTTACAAACGATACTTGCTTAAATGAAGCAGCAAATCGAACGCACAACGTTGAATAGAGCTCTGTGATTGGTTCGTGTGACACCCTGTGCGTCCACGCGCACTGTGAGACCTCATAGTAATGTTTGTGAATACGGGAGTTATACCTATAGCTAGGATCTTCGTTTTCAGCCAAATGACGTCCACTGCTGGACAAAGGCCTCCCCCAAGGTTTTCCACAATGAACGGTCCTGCGCTGCCCGCATCCAGGCTCTTCTCGCGACCTTCACCAGATCGTCGGTCCACCTAGTAGGAGGCCTGCCCACGCTACGTCTTCCAGCCCGTGGTCGCCACTCGAGAACTTTCCTGCCCCAACGGCCATCGTCTCTACGAGCTATGTGCCCCGCCCACTGCCACTTGATTTTAGCAATTCTGCGAGCTAGGATTTAGGATCTAGTTTGGCCGAAAAATGAACCTAAAGGTAGAGTTTCGTTCGCCGCTTTTTCTCAGCACCAGCCGATATGGGTTATTAGCCTGGATTACTAATGTTTGGCCAAAAAACGTTTCCCAAATTATCACATCGCAAACAACGTTTCGCAAATTTTCATTTGGCAAATTCTCATTTGGCAAAACAACTTATTGCAAACTTTTAATTCGCAAATGTCGTTTTTGGCATATTATTGTTTAGCAAATTATTGTTTGGCAAAGTATGTTTTGCCAAATGTTTCATTTGGCAAAAATATTTCACGATAAACTATTTACAAAACAATTTGATTGGTGCATAGAATGGAATACAAATTAGCTTGTGGTTATTTTTTTTAGTGGGTAGTTAATATAAATTTTTTTCTAAATAAATTTTCATATCTCATTCTTTTTATCGAAATTACCAAATGATTCATTAACAATAGAGATGATTCTAGCGCTCGGCGGCCGCTGCCGCGGCACGCTTCGCTCGCCTTCGCGCATTAAGGGTCACTGTTCTAACCTAACCTAACCTACTATTTTCTACAATACCTACTTTTTGCAACCATACTATTTTCTGCAATTTCTCTGTTTTACATAAAATTACTGTGAAAACCATGACCATGTGCCTTATGCTTTGATTTGTGGGTAACGGTGGGTACTCGTTAGTATGTGAGGTGTCAATTTGACCAAGCAAATTATTTGGGATATAATATTTGGCAAAATAAAACATTTGCTATATAAACATTTGCCAAGTAAAATTTGGCCAAATGTTAATTTGACCAAATGAATTAGTTGCGAAAAGTACAGTTGCTAAAAGTTTATTTGGGAAATGAAACTTTGGCGATAAGTTGTTTGCGAAGTGAAATTTGGCGAAAAGTAATTTGGCCAAACGGAAGGATACCTATTAGCCTATTATTATTATAGCCTATTATTATGTGTATGTCTATTATATTTATTTGTATTATTATGTTATTTATTTTATGTAATCTTTGTTATTTCCATGCTTTCTATCCAGTCGACTGCTCTAACGACAAGGGTGGGCAGTCGTTGAGATGACAGCGCGAAAATCGTCGGCATCCACTAATTATGACCCTTATGTACCACTATATTGACAAAGTTCTCCGTCTTCGTACGCGATATTGGAAATTTGGCATCTACTATCGGCAGAATGACATTAGGAATCTTCTGGCTTTGATATTCAATTTTCAACTGTATTACCTTGACAATCGTTCAAAATTGATTTACTAAAAATTATTTGACAGACGATTTCTACTGTCGACAAATGCATTTGAATTACCCCACTTATGTAAGTAGGTATATTATCCAAAATTTTAATTTTTTGCACTGCCTTACTCTTTCTGCATGACCCGTGGATGACTGGCAGAGAATGCCATCCGACATTAAGTCCGCCACAGTGCATTGTTTAGATGTGTGCTAAAGTTTAAATAAATAAATAAATATTATCTGACCTTAAGGTCAAAGCACAGTCAATGACCCCAATGAAAGGGATCGTCACCTTATAATATCGCCTTATGCCGCGAGGCGAGGGATTTACGTTACGGTGCGGATAAGTTACGGAGTTTCATACAAAGAATACTGACCGCCTCGAGTTGATACGGTTACGATCCGTTTCCGGGTTGAAAGTATTTAGTGTGCTTCGTCCTATCAGGTTTCGAGCTACGTATCTGACCTTTATTTGTACCTTTAAAGGTTACTAGCTTTCCGCCCGCGGCTTCGCCCGCGTGGAATTTTGTCTGTCACAGAAAAACTTTATCGCGCGCGTCCCTGTTTCAATAACCGGGATAAAAACTATCCTATGTTCTTTCCCGGGACTCAAACTATCTCTATGCCAAATTTCATCAAAATCGGTTGCGAGGTTTAAGCGGGAAAGCGTAACAGACAGACAGACAGACAGACAGAGTTACTTTCGCATTTATAATATTAGTTGGGAATAGTTGGGAATTAGTTGGGATGAAATATTAATAGCGCACTGTATTAAGTTTCCTTCCAAATTCCCGAGAATCCAACCCAGGAAACTTCTTGCACTCAACTGGCTTCGGGTATTTATACCAGGTATACAGGGTGGATATTTGAAATGCCACCTAGAGGGAAAGTACTCTTAATACTGTAGATAGAAAATTTTACTCAAAGAAAACATTCCTTTATTTTTGAAAAGAAATAGAACTGCATTCAAAGATTTCCAAAAATTTGCTTGCCACACCTGGGAGTCGAACTAACTAAAATCTGTTAAAAATTACACCCTGTATTTTTATTGCATCGATCGTTAGGGTTAAGTATAAGTATGAAATCTCTCTAACAAACTTAACAAATTAAATTAAAGGAAAACCATGAAATTTTAAATTATTTTAATTAATTACAGAACATTGTGTGCTATGGTGGAGAATTTTCTAAAAATTTTCGGAAATCTTTGAATGCAGTTCTCTTTCATTTAAAAAATGAAGGAACGTTTTCTTTGAGTAAAATTTTCTATCTACAGTATTAAGAGTACTTTCCCTCCAGGTGGCATTACAATTACAAATTCCACCCTGTATACATTACAATACATGACTATAAAATTAGATATACAAGTAACACTGCAATAATTTACACTGCTGCTGTGAAATTTGGGTTCTACCATACTTATTATTATTCTGTGGTTCTACTTAGATGTGTTTACCTTAGTATAGACTAGCGGCCGCCCGCGACTTCGTACGCGTGGATCCCGTTTTACCCCCTTCATCTATCTTACGCGTTTAAGATTTTTTCATACAAATGTTTTTCCCGCTAACTCCCGTTCCCGTGGGAATTTTGCGATATCCTGTTGTAACAAAGCTTTAAGTTTACTAAGGTACCTGCATGCCAAATTTCAAGCGTCTAACTTAAGCGGTTTAGATTTTTCATACAAAAGTATTTTCCCGTTAATTTCCGTTCCCGTGGGAATTCCTAAGTATACTATAACCTGCCCAGGAGTATGAAGAACAATTGTACCAAGTTTCGTTAAAATCCGTGGAGTAGTTTTTGTTTCTATAAGGAACATACAGACAGACAGACAGACAGACAGACAAAAATTTTACTGATTGCATTTTTGGCATCAGTATCGGTCACTAATCACCCCCTGATAGTTATTTTGAAAATATATTTCATGTACAGAATTGACCTCTCTACAGATTTATTATAAGTATAGATTTCATCCACGAAGACGCGCTCCACCATTCTTCCGCTAATGTTTGAGTGTTATCGGTAAACGCTAAATTATCCATGAGTACAACGCACACTACAATAATGACACTCTGATTGCTCGGATCAAACTCCCCGCGGCACGCGCTTCCCTCGAAGAAAAATTGGTGGGGCGCGTCTTAGTGGATGAAACGATCTACATACGAGTACAATTTTATTCGAGGAAGGACCCACATGATTAATCAGTCTCCCCTGTAGGAGCAGGATTTTCTCTAATTCACCCGAGGCAAATGGATGGATGGATCTACACTCCCCACGCTATCTTGACGGGTTAAGGCCAGACGTTCACATATTTTTTACAATATCCCGGAGAAAGAAAGGAAGAAGAATAAGGTTGTTTCCTGGGAAAAAAAAGAGTTTAAACTCTACACGACACGAATTTTTCACTATTTCAAACTAATGAAAACTGAAAGAGATAAAGCGCACCAAAGTTCAAAAAAGAAGCCCGTGACGCCAAGGAGTCCCTAGAAGTGTAACACTTTGTGACGTCCCGCGGAACTTAAACGCGCCAAAACTTCTTAATTTTTACTTGTTGATTGACAAATAAAAGTATACCTATCTAACATTTTTTGATAATAGGTATATTTAATTGACGGACTAAAGTTTTTTTAGGAAGCCTATTATTCCAGGAAGAAATCACAGTTTTTCGAAAAAAAAACCCGAAACATTGACTGTTGCGGCGTTCAACCTCCATAGACTGATCTATGAGGCGTTTTCGTTTTAATTATTATAAAGAAAGAAAAAATATGTATTTATTAGTGCTAAATGCGCTAAATGATACACATTGACATTACAAAGCAAAGGGCTTCTTTTGTTTTTCACTATTGTATTGAGCTGTCATGATTGTAATATTCGCTAAGACCGTAAAAAGTGTTATCATTTAATGGCATCATTATGTTCTACGAAACATTGACACCGAGCTGTCTATTACTTACTTTGATTTAATGTGGAGGATAACAAATAACTGAGCTGTGTTCTATTTTAATCGTACTATCTAGATTTACCACATTGTCAGTTTCTATTAACGTGGATTTAAAGTTATTCTTATTACAGCTCAGCTCAGATCTCGAAGGAAAGCCGCCAAGATGCTGGTGGCTGTGGTGGTAATGTTCGCAGTCTGCTACTTCCCAATCCACCTGCTTTGTATACTCCGGTAAGTCATCATTATTGAACCAAACGAGTATCATCATCATCATCATCATTTCAGCTATCATCATCATCATCACGTCCATTGCTGAACATTCTTCTTCTTCTCAGTCGGTACACTCTTGTCAGAGTGGTCGCGGTAATCATTTTGAATCACGATTCAGAGTGATGTTCCTCGTAATACGGCGCCATTCCTCGCGGACTGCAGCTTTCCGGATACTTTCGCTAACCGAGCACTTAGTTGCGGCCTTGATCTGGTCCGTCCATCTCATTGGTGATCTACCACGTGGTCTGGTGCCCTCAACATTTCTCTGCACTACGAGACGCTCTATGGAGTCATTACTGCGCTGAGATACATGGCCGAAGAAGAACTGAACTTTCTGAACGGAACTTGCTGAACATAGGCCTCCCCCAATAATTTCCATAATGACCGGTTGGTAGCGGCCTGCATCTAGCGCCTTCTTGCTAATTGTATGACATCGTCGGTCCAACTTGTGGTTAAGGCATAGGAGACTAGGCTGTGTCAAGTAATCGTTAGTGCTGGAACTTAGCCTGCAGAAAAACGAGCTCGGAGATTATATTTCTTGTTATGGCAGTAAATAATAATGTATGAAAAATATTCTTCTTAAAAGAAATAAATATGAAAGGGAATATTAATTAGGACGAAAATATTACTGGCAAATAGCTTACTGACCGTCTATTTGGTGTAAATATTTACCTTTCAAGTAGTTAACCCACTTCTAACCAGCATATAGATAGAGTTAATGTATATCAGTATTTTTCGCTACTCGCAAAACCACAGTCAATTTAATTGAATGTAAATTCTTTCACGACTTTTTTAGACTTCATTAACTAAACGTTGATTATACTAGATTCACACCATTTTCATTAACAGTTAAGTTTCTATTTTCTAACACAATCTAAACTTCATCCGAATCCAACTGCGGGTAGGAAAAGGGTCTACTATTTCGATTTAAATTTGATTACCTACCTACACAAACTTTGGAAAAGTGATCCGTTTTTCTTCATCCTGAATTTATCACGTTCGACTAGGTATACAGGGAAATCCACTAACCAAAGGACTCACTGAAAGCATTTATAGCGAACCTTCTTATGTGTATTTTTAGTTAGATGTTACTTTTTATTACTTTTTTATGTTACATTTAGGCTTTTACAACCAATTTTGTATTGAATTACATTCCCTTTAAGATATTGGCCTGTTTAAACGTAGGTAATATTAATCTAGCAATGGGATTTTAACTGTTTGCTAGTTATTTTATCCAACGTAAATAATAATAATTGTGAATAACCCGACGGATTAGCAAGCTAAAGTGGCAATGGGCACGGCACATAATACGCAGAACTAATGGCCGATGGGGCCACAAGGTTCTGGAGTGGAGGGCACGTACCGTATAACGCGGCATGGGACGTCCACACACAAGGTGGACCGCTGACCACATAAAGGCGCTGAATGCAGCCCGCTACCCACCGAGCGATGAGGGAATCATTGAGGGAAGGCTATGTTCAGCAGTGGACGTCCTATGGCTGAAATGATGATGATGATGATGAAATTGTGTTTCATCAACAGCCCTTTACAGTCCACTGCTGGACTATGAGCCTCCTCCACTATAGTGGAGGGTTTTGCCATAATCTCCACGCTTGGCAGGCGGGTTGGAGATCGCAGTTTAAAAGATTGATGTTTTTCAGAGAGCGCTGCTGCCCATTCTCTGTTTGATGTGTAGTCCCTAAGTCGCCTCTTACGACACCCGCGTATATTGATAAATCTAACCTCGTATTTGTAACAACACTCCTCCGAGACGGCCTGACTGATTTTTATGAAATTCTTTGTGTGTATATTCAGTAGAACGTAAACTATTTTTCATGTCCGATCATAACAACGTTTGCTGGGTCAAATAGTTGAGAGACGAGAGAGAATTACAATACTACTTTTAAAGTAAGAAACTTGAGTGATTGCTTTTTGCACATTTTAAAATAATAAATAACTTTATTAACACACATTATAACAATACAATACAATGGATAAATTTAAAGAAAGAGACAAATGCATGTTAACAGGGCGCCCGCTCAGTACTCAGCTCAGTACAGTAGTATTTTCGTACCCATGTTTTACGTTAATAGTATACCTACGTTTATTTAGTATAGTTTAACAATGTCAAGCAGTAGGTGAATTCCGCTATCTGAAATTCACCGGACAACGTAGCCTTAATATATCTCAATCTAAAATACTCCGTTTATCCGGGAGCTTACGAGACCTTCCGAAAAAAGCTCCTTGTCCACATAATAGCCGAGGGCGGAACTATTTTCCTTTAAGTATTACTCGTAGTCGATGATCTTTGTAAATGTACTTACAAAGACGCAACTATAATAGTAAAATAAAAGTGTATTCAGTAAAAAATCTAACTTTAACATTATCCTGGCGATAAAAGACTTTGTAAAAGTTAGAAAACGATGAACTACACGGTATGGATGAACTACATGGTGTTGTTATAATTACACAGTGAGAATAGTGTGTTATTGTTAAGGACAATAACACACTATTCTACTCTACACACCAAGCCCGGCTTCATGGTGTCGGCGGTTTTATTTCAAAAGAATCATTTCGACGACTTGTTCTTTCTATGACTTTTCACAACATGTCACAAGTCAAGGGCTTAAATCGGCGGATTTTGCGTATAGAGTGCATTACAGTTACACGTTGTGAGTTTGTTACAGTTACACAGTAGACATGGAGCATTAACGCAGAGCGACGTAGTCACGTTCCTAGCCCTCGTGTTACACGTTTTCTTTTGTGTTATCTATATACAACGTGTCCCAAAATTCAAGGATAAGCCGGCGCCGCAGGATGGACATAGTTATGACTACTTTAGGAAAAATAATAAAAAAAATCTATCTCAATTATTTTTTAAGTTACACAATAAATTATGAAATTCGTCGAAAATTGACACCCCTTATGATATTTTACATTACCACGACTACAATTTTTCAAATACTTCTGTTTTTTTGTTTGTATTGGCAACTTAAGTAGTGCTGCTGTCCACTCCAATTCTTAAAACCCTCAGAATCCTTGCAGTTTTTACACAAAAGTTAATCAAAATATGATATTTCCTTAAAATTTTGAACGATTTTTACTTTCACTCCACTTTGACTCGTCGTTTTGTAAAAAAACAGTATGAACACTACTGCGGCAAGTTTTTTATAAAGTTGACGCAACTATCCAAGATTCCAAAATGGTATAATACTCTAAGAAAACTAGTCGCAAAAAAGATATGCGTACCATTTTTACAAGCACTTCGCTTGTTAGTAGTATGGGATAAATCTTGCAACTAAATTTAAAACCAGTTCTCCTCAACCAATTGAGCTGAAATTTGGTATACTTATGTAAGTACGATGACAATGCAATATTATGGTATCATTGAGCTGGATGGAGTCTGGAGGTGGCCATAGGAACTTCTAAATGAAACGGCGGAATTGCATCTAGTTTAGGTTCGTTAGATTTGTCTTTTCAAGCACTTTGGTGCTAGATGATGTCCAGGATCCTGATGATGAAGTCAAGAGGTGGCCAGGAGCTGGCCATAGGAACTCCTAAACGAAATAGTGGAAGCTTATCGAGTTTGGGTTCGTTGGATTTGTCTTCTCGGGCACTTGGGCCATGAGATTGAGAAACAACTAAAAAGTTTAAAATAAAGTTATAATCGCGCATGGAATTTATTCCTCTTTTTTTCTGTTTGCGCTACAAACTTTCGAAATTATTTGAACCTTGCATACAATTATTTTTATCGTTAAATTCTTTCGTAAAATTTCGCATTTATGCTTGTTTTTAACAAAGTTTTTTTTTATTACAACTTTATTTTACAATTTTTAGTTGTTTCTCAATCTCATGGTCCAAGTGCTCGGGAAGTCAAATCCAACGAACCCAAACTCGATAATCATCCGCCATTTCGATTAGGAGTTCCTTTGGCCAGCTCCTGGCCACCTCTTGACTTCATCATCAGGACCCTGGACATCATCTAGCACTAAAGTGCTCGAAAAGATATCCAACGAACCCAAACTAGATGCGATTCCGCCGTTTCGTTTAGAAGTTCCTATGGCCACCTCCAGACTCCATTCAGCTCAATGATACCATAATATTGCAATGTCATCGTATTTACATAAGTATACCAAATTTCAGCTCAATTGGTTGAGGAGAACTGGTTTTAAATTTAATTGCAAGATTTCTCCCCTACTAACTAACAAGCGAAGTGCTTGTAAAAATGGTATGCATATCTTTTTTGCGACTAGTTTTCTTAGAGTATTATACCATTTTGGAATCTTGGATAGTTGCGTCAACTTTATAATAAACTTGCCGCAGTAGTGTTCATACTGTTTTTTTACAAAACGACGAGTCAATGTGGAGTGAAAGTAAAAATCGTTCAAAATTTTAAGGAAATATCATATTTTGATTAACTTTTGTGTAAAAACTGCAAGGATTCTGAGGGTTTTAAGAATTGGGGTGGACAGCAGCACTACTTAAGTTGCCGATACAAACAAAAAAATAGAAGTATTTGAAAAATTGTGGTCGTTGTAATGTAAAATATCATAAGGGGTGTCAATTTTCGACGAATTTCATAATTTATTATGTAACTTAAAAAATAATCGCAATAGATTTTTTTCTTATTTTTCCTAAAGTAGTCATGACTATGTCCACCCTGCGGCGCCGGCTTATCCTTGAATTTTGGGACACGTTGTATATAAAAGAAAGTCGTGTTAGTTACTCCACTTATAACTCAAGAACGGCTGAACCGATTTAGCTGAAAATTGTCAGGGAGGTAGTTTAGAGCCAGGAGACGGACATAGGATACTTTTTATCCCGTTCGATATTAAAAAAAAAAGTCTGCTTATTTATTGCCATTAAGGCGGAACAAAGTTCGCCGGGTCAGCTAGTTGTTAATATTATACGATGCGAATGGTGTGTTATTGTTACAATAACGCGGTGGACATGGATCAGAGCGACGTAGTCACGTTTCTGGCCCTCGTAACACACACTCTTGTTTGCATTGTGTGTTATTTGTGAATGGTGTGTTATTGTTACAGTTACACAGTAGACATGGAGCAAAGCGATGCGGTCACTTTCTTGGCGCTTGTATCACATGTGCTTTGCTACGCCAACTCTGCGATTAATCCGCTCATATACAACTTCATGAGTGGTGAGTATACACTTAAAGTTAAAAGTATTTTTAGTAGTACATAAATTAACAGTAAAAATACCCGTCTAGCTTGTATTTCAAAAGCCAAACTTTATCTGTAGGTAGGTAATTTGCCTCTAGATTATCTTCAGTAATTGGATTCAAAGGAATTATCTTTAGTAAATTGGATATTATAGTTAAAAATAATTTGAAGTCACAACCACTTAAAACATTTCCATCTTCTGAAAACCGAGCCAGTTTTAAATTTCTAACTAAAATTTAATTTTAGTAGCTCTGAAAATTCCGAAATCAGTTACCTAACCATTTAATTTGCCTTAAAAACCTATGGACATTGCATTTTGATAACTCATAAAAGCATTCAATAATTATCGCTTTGATAATTCAGGAGTTTACCTGACAAATGTAGAAAAGATGCATCATCTTCATTATTTTAGCCACAGGACGTCCACTGCTGCCTTTATGAGGTCGTTGATCCACCTTTTAGGTGGACGTGCTACGTGAACGTGGCCAAAATATGACGATGCACTATGTGACGAAAGGCCGATCTAGATGGACAATATTATTTGACAATATTAATTAGCTTTAAAGACGGTATCTATTGATGATTTGACTATATATCGTCCATTTGCGACGACACTGTGATATATCAAAAACAGTGGTTTTACAGAAATTNAAAAAAAGAAATCTGAGAAAAGTCAACCCAAAAAAAAGATAAAAAAAAAATTAAGCCACTAGGTCATGAAATTTGAAAAAATCACAAAATTAACGATAACTTCTAAACTACGAAAAATCGTAGAACTTACATGGGGGTGAAATCGATAGGTCTAGTCCTCACCTATCACCTGCCTTCGGCTTGACACCTTACAAGAAACACCCTGTATAAAAGATAAATGGATATTGGCAACAGGAAAGTACAACTGGTTTCCACAAAAACATGATACGATATGCTCTGAGCACTTCGAGGCTGTAAGTTTCATAAAAAGGACCAGAACTTACTTAACTTCTGATGCTATCCCAACAAATCCACCCCATTATTAAAGAGGTAATTTTATTTTGTTGTAATAATGGAGTCGCGGATAGAAGCTATTATATGGAAGGATTATTATATTAAGCTATAATGAAATTTGTGCTAAAAAATATATATCTTTCAGATTAATTCACATTGTTCCACAAAGACTGTTAAAATTTATGACATTGCTGCACCAGCAAAACGTAGAAAGGTAATTTTAAATAGACAAACAAGTATTTTTGAAAATTATATTATTCTAATTACTTAATTTTAGTTATTCGGAACTCTTCATTGATCTGTACTATTTTTAGATGTCTGGTGAAGATTCACTCGTAGAACCAGCCAAAGAAGCTATTCAAGATGGTATATCAAACACACAAGAAGAGACTACACCAAATATCCAAGACACACCACGCAGACCCTCGCTTTAAGCGAATCCACTTCACGTCTCCAATTGACGTGGCACACGCAATTTCTAAAATTAGCGATGAGATTCGTGCAGAACACAGGCGTAGAGGGCAACGTTCTCCAGAAACAAGATCTGCACAAATAAACGCATCAGAACAGACCGAGCCTTCTATCTGGTCCAGGCATGAGAAAATTTTAAATGTTAGTTTAGCTGCGCAAGAGGTTCCAAGTGCTGGCTCTATCCCCAATGAGCTTAAGCAGTATCTGGACCAACCACTACTGGAAAGAAAATCAGATCCAATAAAGTTTTGGGTGAGTTGTCGACATTTCACGCCGGTTCTTTCTAATATCGCTTTAAAATACCTAACATGCCAAGCATCTTCATCAGAAAGGCTTGCGTCTGTTATTAACTTGGCAGTGCCAGACAATAGAAGCAGATTAACAGGGGAGCACATAAAACAGAGTGCTTCTCATGTCGATATCTGACAATTATTGGTTTGACTAAATGATTATACGTGGGACACTATTTNGGTATCGATACTTTTGTGTCGATTCTTTTACGAGTACGATACTTTTTTATCGATACTACTCATGAGTACAGTATCGATACTTTCTATTCGATACCGTGTCCCTACCCATAACCTGTTGGAATTATGGGCGGAAATACAAATTCGAGAGTGATTTTAACAGATAGTTTTATTTCTACTTAGACACAGAGAAAAGTACAGAGCGAGAGACAAAAGACAGTTTTGACAGTTTGGTTTTTTTTTAAACCAAAGACCTTTATGACGTTGTGTTTACAAAGCGTCTTGCTGAAATCCTCTGTAAATTGGGTTTACCTGCAAATGGCGCTAAACGTGGTCGGCCTAGTGGCCAATCCCATCGAAAGATGTCGGGTTAGATCAAACATCTCATTGGGCAGTTTGGCTGGATAAGCAGCAGAGGTGCAAATTCCCAAAATGTTCAGGGCTTACTTTCAAAATGTGCCAAAAATGTTGTGTATCATCATGTGATACAGTTAAAGTCCGAGGGTGCTACTATCACTGGACCCGCATCATGTGGAAAAAAGCAAAACGGATTGGATGCTCTAAAAACATGTCGGATAGAAGGATTGTTTCTATGACCGCGGTTTTACCGTTCATTCCAGGAGATACAGTTTTACAAGAATCAAACGACAATTTTAAGATTGACAAGTTTCTCAAATACGTAGAAAATTATTGGCTTAAAGTCCATACCAATGACATATTTTGCGTTTTTGGTACAACGTCATCGTACAACTAATTCTTTAGAAGGTTTTCATTCAAAACTTAACAAAGTAATAAACAAAAATTCGGTAACAATAATGCGTTTACTAGACAAACCTTAGTGGTGTCCTGAATGCTGTCTAAACAATTTTTACCTATTTTATATTTATTCTGGGTTAATTTTATTGAAATTTAGTTTGTCACCTTCAGACGCAGAGGTCCCGGGTTCGATTCCCAGTGGGGGCAGATTTTTCTATTCGGTTTGGTTGGTGGTAGGGCTTGTTCTAAGTCCGCCTGGCTAGCTACCACCATCTTACCTAAGTCTGTCGCCATAACAACAATGTTAACAGCATTATTGTGTTCCGGCAGTTAGAGGTAAGATAGCCAGTTCCTCCGTGGTTGAGGATTCCGGGTGAAACTCGCTTCCACCTTCGGCCTGATCGTCACTTACCATCAGGTGAGATCGTGAGTGAGTTACAGGCCACGCCCGCGCGTGTAACCCGCCGTATCATAAAAGTCGACCAAAGCGTTTCGACGCATTGAATGAAATAGCAAACCATTTTAATATAAATGTATCAGAAATAGAAAAATTAAAAACTTGACAAGTCAATATTATAGAGAGAGAAAAAAAGTGACTGACTCAAAAAGTCGGGTAGCGGTACAGATTGTGTATATCAGAGCAAGTGGTTTGCATATAAATCATTTAGTTTTTTGCAAAACAAGAATACTTCTACTGCCACGATCGATTCTGAAGTAAAAATGCATTTATTATTTTTCTCCAAAATGTTTTATTGTACAGAACAGAACAATTTTGTAGTGATCGGTGTATGAGTGTGATAAATTCTACGTGGCCGGTGAATTTTGTCGTCGAACAGTAATTTCATGTGCGCTACGGCGCGCACATGAAATTACTTTTCGTAGCATCAAAAATGGCGTCTCAACAATCTCAAGATAAGCCCAAGAAAATATCGAGTATGAGTGATCCGCAGCCCATGCTCATGTCTGGAAATCTGCCAATGCAGTGGAAAAAATGGGTTCAATCCTTCAAATTATACCTACGTGCGTCGGTTATGAGTGAAGAGTCTGATGATCAAAAAGTCGCCCTATTTCTTCACACCATTGGGGAAAAAGGTGTAGACATATTCAACACGTTCGGGAGGAACGATGAAAGCATCAAATACGACGAGCTGATTGAAATGAACAGTACTTTGCGCTAAAAGCAAAATTTGCATTTAATGTTACCCATGAATGTCACAACTTTAGTTTTGTACAACGGTCAGTCAAATCAGTCACGTCAGTCAAGATCAAAGTCACAAAATACAGCAGTCTCGGAATGACAGTCAACAGTCAAGAAAGGTGTGTTCCAGATGCAGCCAAGTTCATCGTCAAAAGTGTCCGGCATTGTGTGTGAAATGTAGAAAATGCGATAAAGTGGGTCGTTATGCTGTTTGTTGTCGTTCAGTAAAGTCAAATGAAATGTTTATAGGTCATATTCAGTCATCCAAGTCGTCATCAAGTGAATGGTCAATTGATTTAACTATAAATAATTCTCAAATAAATTGTATTATTGATACAGGCAGTGATGTCAATATTATGTCTAAAGATGTCTATGATTCACTTAATATTAAGAGTGCACTGTCTGAAACTAATATCAAAATTGTTAGTAGTAAATCAAAATATGATGTGGCAACATTTTATTGTATATGAAAACTTCTATCCATGTCCGGTGACTTTGATTGAAAAAACTCTATTCCATTTTGTCAAGCAAGAAACATAGTTTCATTTTAAGTTATGGGCATATGGGCCCAGTCCCGTATTCTCTGGCGGCAGTTAGTTTTTACTGTGATATTGTTCTCTGTGTTTACTTAAGATTACAATGACGTATAAGTTCGAGAACAATATAAAAATACCAAAGGACTTAGTTTGTCGTACGTAGTGTTTCGCGAACTCGAACATGGCGGCAGGTCAGAACTACATGATGAATGTGCCGAAACTCAAAGGCCGTGAAAACTACAGTGAATGGTGTTTTGCAGTAGAAAACGTCCTAGTGTTGGAGGGCATGCTAAAGTGCATTAAGCCGGAGCCAAACCAACCAGATATAGGAGCCGAAGAAGATGCCAGAACGAAGGCCAAGATGATTTTAATGATAATCCTTTAATCTACGTGCATATAAAGAACGTTACTACATCTAAAAGTCTGTGGGATAAGCTAAAGTCATTGTATGATGATTGTAGATTCACGAGAAGAATCAGTTTGCTTAGAAATCTCATTTCGATTAGACTAGAAAATTGTGACACAATATCTTATGTCACGCAAATTGTGGATACTGGTCAAAAGTT